TTTTTATATTTCCTTCAGTTTTTTTCTTTCATAACTGCTTCTTAGAGGGTAAAATATCAGAGTCTTATGTTTTATTTCATTTGTATTTATCAAAATCTGAGGATTGAATAAATTCATGATGTGAAAAGAAAAGCATCATTTTCACTTAATATTGGATCATGTTTTTATTTAAGGATTATGAGATTCATTAATAAACATTACAGAGTATAAGATGTCTTCTTCCTTGACTGGTGATCTAAATTTAAAAGAAATCATTTTAGATGTTTTGCTTTAAAATAAAAAAAGTATCATTCTCATGATGGCAACAAATGTACAAATGTGCTTGACACAATGGATGCATGGATGGAGTGTGATAAGAGTTGTACAAACCCCCAATAAAATGATTTTTTTTCTTTTAAAATAAGTTTTATTGGCACATACCCACATATCATACAATTCAACAATTGCTATATCAAGAAGAATTGTACAATCATCACCATAATCAGCTTTAGAACATTTTCTTCTTTCTTGCACTCATTGTTATTAGCTCCCCATTTTCCCCAACCTCCCCTGCCATACCCCCAAGAAATCATTAATCCAGTTACTGTCTCTATGGATTTACCTCTCCTGGATTTCATGTACAGGAAAACATCCAAAAAGCAAACAAACAACAACCCAAACTAACAATAGTAACAAAGTAAAACAGAGATAAACCTCAATCTGAAAAGCAGAAAACATTAAAAATTAGAACAACTTTAAAGTTTGTCAAAAGGTAGAGCAAATCACAAAGTTCTAAATTTTAACCTGACCATTAGCAAGGCTGTTCACATCCCTATCTATGCTCAGAGAGGATTCACCTGTTCTTAATCTGCTATTTTTTTTAACTGAAACAACTTTTAAATGGATCAAAAGGAAGATCAAATACGACATTACATTTTCATCTAACTATATCTACCATAATCGACTTTACAATGCTCTCTGTCTGATAAGAAAGCTATCACATCCCTTGACGATGGTCAGAGGGGATCCACCTGAGGCCTACCCTATGTGTGGACCCTGCAAGTGATTTTTTTTAAGTACCATTCTCTTCCAATCCCCACATCCCACTCCCCAGAAGTAAGTTAAGTGCTTGAATGTGGGGTTCTTCTGTTATTACATTTTATTATATCCTGTTACGACTCACTGCTATCAAATTGACGCGGACTTGCGGCGGGCGACTCTAGAGGACAGAGACGGTAACTCCTGGGGAGTAGAAGATCGTACCTTTCTCCTGCAGAGCAACTGGTGGTTTCAAACTTCCGACCTTGCAGTTAGCAGCCTAATGGATAAGTCACTACACTTCCAGAGCTCCTTATTACATGTAAGAGGTTAATAAATAATGACAGGTTTAAATATTGCCCCGTTTCCTGCTCCTGTTACAGTTATATAAATACGATCTATTCATTATGCCTGTATCATTTTAATGCATTTCAACCTCTATGTTTTCACGGAAGAAGTCCTAGTGGCTGTACATTGGCTGCTAATGGGAACAGGGTGGCTGCAGTCCAGACCCGCCCAGAAAATGGCTCCATGGCACAAGGACCAGTGACCTGCTTTTGTGCAGACTCACAGCCCAGGAAGCCCCACGGGGCTGTTCTACCATGTCACATGGCGTCACCGTGATTCAAAAACCACTCCACAGCAAACAGCAGTAACTAGTTCATATGCTAACTTTAGACAGGATCTCTAGATTGTCGGGGGATGACATTCTAAAGCTTCCATGCCTTCCTCCCCTCCCCTCATCTGTCTGCTAACTGTTGTTAGCTATGGTGTTATGTCTAATAACACACTTTCAGTCATCAAAGTATATTACATTACCTTTATGTTCTTTTAAAAAAAATAATTTTACTGGGGGATTGTACAAGTCTTATCACAATCCATACATACATGCATTGTGTGAATCACATTTGTACATTGGTTGCCATCATCATTCTCAAAACATTTGCTTTCTACTTGAGCCCTTGGTATTAGCTCCTCATTTTTCCCTGCCCCCCGCCCCCCATGAACCCTTGACAATCTGTAAATTATTATTATTTTATCATGTCTTACACTGTCCGACATCTCCCTTCACTCCTTTTCTGTTGTCTGACCCCTAGGGAGGGGGTTATATGTAGATCTTTGTAATCCGTTCCCCCTTTCTACCCCACCTTCCCTCCACCCTCCTGGTATCGCCACTCTCACCACTGGTCCTGAAGGGACCCTCCGCCCTGCGTTCCCTGTGTTCCCAGTTCCTATCTGTACCAGTGTACATCCACCTTTGTGTTCTGTGACACGAAGATAGTTTAAGTCTCGACAGTTAAGAGACTTCTAGTTAAGTCTCTAGGACTTGCCTTGGGAATAAAGTGGAGTTATGGATTTTTGCACCAGGAGAGTTTATTTAGGAATTTGCTGGCCATTTTGAAAATCCATTTCCACAGGAAACAATTGTATCTCATTCCAAGGTCACAGAACTATAAAGCCACACAGAGTTTTCCAAAGCTTTGACTGTTGTATGGAGAGTTTTGAGGACCCTGAGCTCAGGGAGATAAAACAGGAACACGGGGAAATTCCAGGAGCATTTTTCCTCGAAGCGCACAGGACAATGGTATGTGCCTGACAGATGCTTTGCAGAACCCAGCCACCTGGTGCTGTGCTTCAAGGAAGGAATGATGTCGGTGGCTGCTCTGTCCGATACAATCAATGAGGGGACGTGAGGAACAGCATTGGCAGTGACAAAGTGGGAAGTCATTGGTAATGCACTGCAAGCTGTTTGGGTTGTTAGTGCCGTCAAGCCAGTGCCGACCCATAGCAAACCCAGGTGCAACAAAACAGAACACGCCTAGTCCTATGCCACCCTCATCATTGTTTTTATGTCTGAGCGCATCGAAGCAGCCCTTGTGCCAGTCCATCGGGGAGAAGGTCATCCTCGTTTTCATTGCCCTTGAGCATTCTGGGTGTACCTCATCCAGGACGGATGTGTTGGTTCTTCTGGCAGTCCATGGTGCTGTCCGTAGTCTTCACCAGCATCGCAGTTCAAATGCATCCACTCTCCTTCCGTCTTCCTTATGCCTGGTCCAACCTCCACATGCACATGAAACAAGCGAAAACACGATGCCTGCGGTCAGGCTCATCTTAGTCCTCAAGGTCACAGCCTTGCTTTCAACCCGTTAAAGGGGCCTGGTGCAGCAGATTTACCCAATGCAATGTGTCTTTTGCTCTCTTAACTGCTGTTTCAGAAGCACAACTTTAATCATTCTAATTTGAGATTGTCATTTGCTTCTTGTTGGGACTCTGGCTAGGAAAAAGGACTATGCAATATTTCAACATTGATCAAGTAAGAATTGATGATACTGAACGTATTATACAGGTTATCTAAATTGGGAAAGTATATCACCCACTGCCATCAAGTGGATTCCGACGCAGAATGACCCTAGGACAGGAGTTTCTGAGACTGTACCTCCACACAGGAGGAGAAAGCCTCACCTTTGGCCCACAAAGTGACTGGTGGTTTTGAACTGCTGATTTTGCAGTTAGCAGCCCAATCTGTATGCCATTAGGCCATCAGGGCCCTAGTGGAAAAGTACATAGTCATTATAATTCCGATTTTTACTTAATGTGTACCTGCTAAGAGTGATATACTAATTTTTCCTCTGCTCAATTAAAATGTCAAAGACTATAAAGCTGGAAGTATCAAAACAGTCTGGTACTGGTACCATGATAAACACAAAGACAAATAAAGCAGAATGGAATGTTCAGAAATACAAGCAGACTTCAAAATGTTCATGGAAAACTTCCATTATCCTTCAATTACATTTTTTCATGAACTTTGTGAAGCCCTCTCATCAATCCATGCGTCTGTGGATTTTCCACGATGGCACCAAACCCTTCCAACGGAGGAAAGAACCATCACTTCAGCAAGAGTGTTAAAGCAATGGACTCTTAGACATGTCAACAAAAATATAACCACCGAAAGCAACAACAGATAAACTGAACCTCTTTAAAATTCCTTTATGCATCAAAGTATTTTGTCAACAAAGTTAAGGGACTGTTTTCTCCACCGAATATGAGAAAATGTTTGTTAACCATATCCCCGTTAAGGGTTTAATATCCAAAGTATATTAAGAAGCCCTACAACAATACAAGAGATAAGCAACTCCAGTTAATACCGGGCAAGGGGCTTGAAGAGACATTTCTCCAAAGAAGATATACAACTGATTCACAAGTACATGAAAGGGTGCTCTACCATTAACCATTCGGGAAAGGCACATCAAGACCACAGATACTATTTTGCCCTTGATAGGATCTTATTGTCATAAAAATGTGTAATAAATATTGGTGAAGATATGGAGAAATTGAAACCTTTCTCTACGTAAAATGGCCCAACACATTGTGGGAAATGGTTTGGCAGTCCCTTACAAAGTCTAGCTGGATGACTAGCAATTCCACTCTTAGGAATACAGTCAAAGGGACTTGGACACCCAAATTCATTCCAGCACGATTCACATTGGCCAAAAGATAAGCAAAATGTGGAGTATACATATAATGGAATCTTATTCAGACATAAGAAATCACGTTCTGACACATGAACCCCTGATACATGGATGGACCTTAAAAGCACTATGCTAAAAGAAATGTCAGACACAAAGGGACCGATATCATATGCTCTCACTTACACAAAGTATCTAGCAGAGGCAAATGCATAGAGACAAGAGTGTATTGGAAGGGAGAGTTATTGGCTAAGGGGTCCCAGGTTTTTATTTGGGCACTGATAAACTTTTAGGGACAGACAGTGACAAAGGGTCGCTAGGTGTCAGAATTGACTCGATGGCAGTGAGTCTGGGTTTGGGCTTTTGGAATGGTTGCATAACATGATGAATATAATTAAGGTCACAGAACGGTATACTTAAAAATGGTTAAAATGTCCATTTTTTGTTATGTTTATCATAGAAAAATCAAAGGAAAGAAAACAAGCAATCAGGTTTCTGGCAAGAAACAAAATCCCATCAGTTCAAAGGACTTTAATGAAGGGACTGTTTGCTGAAGAATGGGCATTGTAAGAGCTGGTCCGGTACCAGGGCCCAGAGAGCAGAAAGCCATTACCGCTCTCCTGCCCCAGGCAAAGGGCTGTCTCCATGCTGGAGCCCAGGGAGTGGGCTGTCACAGAGGAGCAGCCTGCTCTCCAGAGCTAAGGTCCTGGAAGAAGGCCGTCCCTGACAGAGGCCCTGTCTGCCAAGGCTGGGAGATGAGGAAGAAGTACCCAGTCCACCCATCTTCAGGCTCTGTCTCTGGGCTGCAACCAGTGCATTCCATTCACTGACCCCAATGGGGAACCAGACAGATGCAGTCCATACATGTCAGCCTGCTTGAGGAAAGAGGGGCAGAGAGGGAATTGGGGTGGGTGAGAGGAGGAAGGACAAGAAACAGCACAACCAGTAGACCAACTCCAGGTCAATGTTGATGCCATCGAATCCTTTCTGACTCCGAGAGACCCCGTGTACTACAGATCTAAACACTGCCCGGTCCTGTACCATGCTCACAGTGGATCTTCTGTTTCAGCCATTGAGGCTGCCACGGTGTCAATTTATCTCATTAAGGGTCTTCCTCTTTTTACTGCCCTGCTACTTCATCATGCAAATAGGAACTCGGGTGTATGAAAAATAATGCATATGTTTATATAGAAGAGACGTTTTAGCTACTTTAGATATTTAAAAGTAGCTACCTCATGGTGGTAGAAGCATAATAACTGCTTTTTATTTCCTACCCTGCAAGGTAATCCGCAAACCCACCAAGAAGAGGTTATACGCTCCAACGACAATTCGAGACCCTGGAACCCTGTAGAGGGTCGCTGGGCATCAGAAATGACTCGACAGCAAGGGGTCCAGATGGGTGAGGGCTATTCTTCAAGCCAACACAATAACTATGTGTGACTTAAAATTTGCCTTGAAGAGACAAATCCTAATCAGAGGTGCATAATTTTAATTTTAACTTTTAAAGGAAATATATACAACTAAGCAGCTCCTTATGGTAACAATTTCTATTTCTGAAATTTCTGCAGAAGCAGGGTCACACCTAGAGTACATTCAAGGTCAAATGAAAGTTGTCTTGGTTCTCAGAGCACTAGTTAGTTTCATGTTATTCTGTCAAACAGTGGGAAAGAAAAATCATCTCATGAGTCACACATGATCTCACAGTTCCAATCTTGTTCATTAGTCTTGTTCATTATTATGAACTTTGTCATGTAGCAAAAACCAATCAGTGATCATCACTTTGTCAAGCCACATTTCTGATCCCAGAGCGGGTGGGATGCACCATCCTTAGTGAGGATCCTTAGGGAGTCAACATGGATTTCCGCTCATGGTGATCCTGGGCGTGTCCGAGGAGAAGGACATACCGTGTGGTTTTCAGTGATCGGTTGCTAGGTCTTTCTTGCCAGGCACCTCTGGATGGCCTTGAACTTCCAACCCTTCAAAGGCCATTAAGGTTTGCCCCACCCAGGGATGCCATCCAAGAATGAACCCCATGGTAACATTTTCCTTCAGAATCCTTTCAACGCAATTACACGGCAATCAGACAGCTCTTTCTGATCACATTTGGTTTTGAAATTATTTTCAGCGCTATTTTATTTAGATGATCTGTTCTACTACATGGTGTCCTTCAGGTTTTAATTTGATAAAGTACAAGGTGAGCCATCGCAAGGAGTGCAGCGATGTTGTCAGTGGTCTGCCTTGGGCCCGGTGGGGTCCACAGCCAGCCTTCCTCCCCTGTTCACAGCACTGTCCTCGGGTTTATTGCCAGCTCACGTTGGATGAGGGCTAAGGGGGAAGCAGCTACTGGTACGACCTCTGAAGAAATGTGTAGTATGTGCAGAATGACAGTGCAAATCTTGGGAATGTCATAGACCAGCTGACAAAGGCAAAACCCCTAAAGCAAATACTTAAACTTGACCAAAGTCCCAATCCATGCCATTGCAGTCGGGGAGAAGCACCGCAGACTCATCAGCTGTGCTGTATAAACCCAGGCGCGCTGTGTAAATTTAGGCACCCGCAGGCTGCCAGGCTATTTAAAGCTAAGGCTGATACAGCGACAACAGATGCACTGCATTTTGCCATCTTCTGAAATCTGAAAATGTAAGTAGTATCCAGATACCAGAGATGAACACTCTCTGAGTTCAGCAATTATACTTGTTAGAGTGGTTTCCTCATCTCCTTATTTATGTAAAAGGCTGCAAGTTAATACATATCAACATTTCAAAAGTATTCACAGACCATTAAAAGAAATCATTTCGTTTAGGATTGGGCTTAGCTAGAAAAAGAAAGGAAGGAAAGAAAGAAAGAAAGAAAGAAGGAAGGAAGGAAGAAAGAAAACAGAATGAAGTAAATGTTTAGTTAGTTTTTTGGTTGTTTTTTTTTTAAAGATTTTCTATCTGAAACTTCTACCTGAAATAGTAGGCAACTCTGATGAACCATAATTAGACTTCATACTCAGATTTCCAGAAACTGAATGTTCACCGTTAGACGCTGTATTACAATGCCCAAAGTAACAAAACTACGTGGAAAAGAAAACGCTATGGAGTGAAGCAAGGCACCATCTTTTCTGCCACACGGTGTTTATAAGAGCGATAACAATTGCTTACGTCAGGACAGTTCTTTTGCAGTTGATTATTAACAAATGCAGGCCCACTGGCACGGTTGGCGTAATGGAAAAAGAATGGAGTCTTCTAACGTATAAACTCAGACCGACTGCTAACTTGTCATGTTCCGTGGTAAGAGCAGGGCGCCTCTGAGCTGCAAGGCACAGTATTGAACAACGGCTCCTTTCTGAGCGCAAATAAAGACAACGTCCACCTACTTTTTAACCCGCACTGAAATCGCGGTGAATCATTTCACCCGTGGGCCAGGCCAGCATCCCGCGGTCTTCTAAGCTTCCTGGTGCGGTGAGCACAGCACCTGGAGGCTTTCTGCGCCCTTGGCGGCCAGATGCTTCTCCTGCACCACCAGAATCCCATCGTGGCAGAGGACCGCCGACAGATCGCCGGTTTCCACGCCGTCCGGCAGCTTGTACTGCCGGGTGAAGCTTCTGGAGACAAAACCGTGCTCATCCATGCGGGCTCCGTGCTGCGCCTTAATCAGCAGCCAGCCCTCGAAGGTCTGAATGATGATGTCCTCGGGGAGGAACTGCACCACGTCCAGCAGAATCTGAAAGCGGCATTGACCTTCCTGCTGCGGCCGCTCGGTCCCCGAGGCCGCCCGGGCTTGTCGCAGGTCCACGATGGCTGGCCCAGGCAGCGCATAGAGAGCGTGGTCCAGCCTGCAGGCTTCCAGCCCTCGGGCTTCGAACTCCTCCTGGTAGCGCACGGGGGAGTCTATGAGGTGCCTCAGAATGACGTTGGCCATGGTGGAAGAGCCAAGGGCACAGGCCTGCTGTCTAATGTCTGTCTGGATCCCCGGGGATGGCTGTTGGTCCCTAGCCCTGCCCAGACACGGCCGCTCACTGAGGCCTGAATCCGGCCAGCGCCCACTGACTCCTGTCTTGCGCTCACGCTGACAATGAGCTGCTATTTATAGAGGGCCCTGCTTGCACTTAGCACGCAGCCCGCACAACTGCAGAGGGAAGGGTGCCCCTCAGGCTGGCGGCTATTATTGGCCTAAGTGTCTGCCGGCTCACCCCAGGAGAATAGGGCAGTTGGCGTCAGAAAGGGTTTCAGTGTTCTGCCCTGGTGAACCGCAAAGATCCTGGGAGAAATTTATCTAGCTGTAATGAATCTTGAATGAAGATACACACACACACACACACACACACAAACTCGCCTGCCCGCGCATTCAATTTCAAGTATTCATTAAGTCTCAGACCTTATACATTTGGCTTTTATTTCGTCTTTTACTCTTTCCTACTTAAGGGACACTGGAGTGACTCATCTGGGTTGATTTACACGTGACTCATCAAAAAATGGAGGCTGGATGACTAAGCTGGATACGGTTAAGTGTCAGACCTCAGATGGGGACTGCCTGGGGAGAGAAGCATCATGCGATCTTAGTCGTGTCAATAAAGCCCCCAGGGAGAGAACGGCAGAATTTTAAACGATTTGACATGAAAGCCCAGAAAAGTAATGATTTATCTAGTCACCATTGTATCAACTAAAATGCACTTTACATCAGAAGCCAATTGAAAAAGAAGGAGGCCGGTCTTTATCCATTCTATAGAAGGATCCCCAAAATATATGAAGCCAAAACAGGTAAAGAAAAAATAGAACAGTATATACTATGCTAATTATGTTTTTAAAAAGTAGATCTTTGCTTCTATGAATTGAATCTCTTTGAAAGATACTTCTGGGGACAGGGGTTGCCTTCAACGAGGGTAATGGGGCCACTGGGAGGCAGGGGTTGAAGGGAACATATTTCACTTTCAATAATTTTATTGGACCGTGCATATGCAATGCGTGTATGCATTAAAAGGTTTAAAATATGGAAAACAACCTCTCTTATTCCTATGACATATGTTTATATATGTGTGTATTTATATATACATAGATATATGGAAAACATATTTTCCAATATAGAGACACTCTCTGTGTGTGATAGTTTCTAGAGCGGGTAGACTCACCAAAATATTTCTTTCAACAACCCATGCCTCTTATGTTCTTAGAGGGCCAGAAAACTGTGTTAAAATCATTGGAAAATCAGAAAACAGAAAGAAACAAAACTTCCTTGGGCTTCTTTTCCTTACTTAAAAAAAGAAAAGAAAACAAGTTTTGTGCACACTTTGGTGTCTGCTTAGGAAGAAGCTCTAGCAATGCGGTTCACACTCAGCTTTTTGGCCTGCTGGTGGCCCTCGGGAGAAAGAGAGTCTTTCAGTCGTGCCAATGTCCTTTGGGCTATAACATGCTTAGGGACATATCCACCAGGGCTGCTTTGAGGGGCAAGTCAAGAACTGCACCTACGCCCTGTGGTAAGAAAGTTATAGGATGTTAACTCGCTGCCTGGCAGTTAGTGCTGACCCATAGTGACCCCCCCTGTGGGTTTCCTAGACCGTCACAGTTACGCTCATAGAAAGATATTTAAAGGAAGCCTGGTAGCACTGTGAGTTAGACTGCTGACCACAAGGTTGGCAGTTCAAGCCCATCAGCTTCTCTCTGGGAGAGAGAGGAGGCCATCTGCTCCTGTAAAGATTTAGTCACGGAAATCCTCTATAGGATCCCTATGAGGCAGAATTGACTTGGTGGCAGTGCGTTTGGTTTGGTTTGGTAGGCTATTTAGATGCTAGAAACAGGCTGCTGGGGCAGATAAAAAAAATAAATAAGAAAACATCTCTTACCTCCAGCGATCTCTGAAACAGACTATGGGACCGGAGCCGAATGATCTGTTTCCATGTTGGATCATGACAGAGAGTGGGAAGGAAAAATGAGCATCTACATTTCTACACAGCTGTCGAGACTCCAACTTCTATTACTTTTTCCAAACAGCTATTTAACTTTAATAGTAAACCGTAACTACCTCCCCCATCATCATCCACTATCTGGATGCTTTCTCGTTCTGGAGCCCCGACCAGGCTTCCAAACTGGTCCCTTGTCCCTACTCTTGCTCCACCGTGCACCCACCCCCACCCCATATTGTAGCTAGAATAGTTATTCTAAAGCATCCTGTCACTCCCCAGGTGAAAAGCCCCATTCGGAAGCTTCTCATTGCAACCAGAGGAAATCCAAACTCCTTACTACAGTCCTCTAAGACCTGTTGTCTAACCCATGCGAACTTCTCCTCCTCACTCTGTGCCTCAGCCACACGGGCCTCCTTTCTGCTGATTAAATGTTCCAAGTTTCTTTCCTTCTTAAGCCCTTTGCGCTTGGGGTTTCTCTAGCTTTGAAAGCTCGTGCTTGAAAAGTCTTCTCTAGGTCGCCTCTTTGCTGTCTCTCCGATTTCAAGTCAAATGTTACTTCTTCAGGGGTGTTAGATTCTTCTTTAGCCAGATTCCCTGGCCATGCAGCTAAATGCCTCTTCCTGTCATGCTGTGGCAATGCCATAGTTTATCTTCATAGGCATTCTCAGCACCCAAAATTACCTTAACAATGGATTTACATTCCAGTTGGAGAAGGCAAATAAAAGCTGGGGGTTGTTATTGTTGTAAGGTCCCGTTGAGTCAGGGCCTGCCCATAACGACCCTTTGCCCCACAGAAGGAAACAGCACAAGGTTCAATGCCATCTCACGATTGTTCCTGCGCTTGAGCCCACTGATGTAGCTAGCCCCTGTGTCAATCCATGCTGCTGAGGGCCTGCCTCCCTGTCGCTGCCCCTCCAATTGACCGAGCATGTTGTCTGAGTGTTAGAAGAGGCCTGCCTGTGGGCTCAGCCCAGAAGACACTGTCCTGATTGAACAAAGGTACCGTGATGATATCTCACATGAATTATAACCTGTTAACTTCCTTATTCCTTAATAAACCTTAATAATTTCCTTAATAAACCCTTTAATAATGAATATTGTCTGTGAAGTATTACAGTGGATTTTAGAATGCACCTGGAAAGTGGAGAGGGCCTTGGGAGAGATGGTTAGAGGGTAGGGGCATGTCTGACCTCTGGTAACTCGGCTTGGAAGGCAGAGGACAGATGTGGTCCCAAGCATATTTTTTTACATACCTGGAGGTCAAAAAGTGGTCAAAACGTGGGATGGGGTAAGATATGATAAAATAATAATAAATTATAAATTATCGGGGGTTCGGGGGGGGGAGCGGGGAGGGAGAGGGAAAAATGAGCTGAAACAGGGGCTCAAGTGGAAAGTGGGTGTCGTAAGAATGATGAAGTCAACATATGTACTAAAGTGCTGGACTCAGATGACGTATGTACAGATTGTGATGAGTTGTATGAGCCCCTAATAAAATAATTATTTAAAAAAAAAGTCACTGCTATCGAGCTGATTCTGATTCATCGCAATCATGCAGGATTGGGTAGAACTGTCCCTGTGAATTTTTGAGACTCTATGGCCGTAGAACTCGTGGTTAGCATGCTAGCTCATAACCAATATGCAACCACGCTACTTGCTAAAGGAGGGAGTCAGTGAAAAGTAGAAAAGACCGTGAGGAAGATGGATTGACACAGTGGATGTAGCAATGTGTTCAAACACAGGAACTGTCGAGAGGATGGTGCAGAACCAGTCGCTGTGTTGTTCTGTTTTCGTAATTGCTAAGAGTCAGAACTGACTCAACAGCATTAGCTAATGGACCAGATTTGTGTGTCTCATTTCAAAGTAAATGAATTTTCAGAAGTTTTTTGAAAACTCATATAAATATAATAGGAAAATTAAATTAGGATGTTGCCTACTGGGGAAAAAAAATTCATTTTAGGTTCAATATGAGTTTAAAAGACAAAATTAGTTTCACACATTCTAAGTAATCAGCCTTAAAAGTAAGCTTTTTGGAAAAGGAGTTGCATTTTTATCATATCATCATACAATGTGTTTATTTCTAAAAATGTAAAGTTATATAGGTTAAAACAAGGTGTTAGCCTTCTAGGTCTTCAAGTTACTCATCTAAATTTGAATATCTTATGACAAATGAATTGTTAGTTTTTTGTATCGATTCATTCTGAGCTGTGTGAGTTGGTTATTGTTACAAGTGTATTGTAAATTGGAAAAAAGTAGAGATGAAATGCTTCAGATGGAAAAATTCTGTTGAACAGAGATGAGCAGTTTAATACTATCTCTGATACTTTGTCTTTTTTCCTTTTCTTTATGGATTATGCTTTGTTTTAAAAAGAAAAAAAATAATTTGTGAAGGAAGTGAAATTGGTGTAACAATGTACTTTTCACGAGGTACTAGAAATTTACCAGACCAATCATTCTTTAACCATGTGTAGCCATAAACGTACACCATTGTGTAATGTGGATGAAATCAATACAAACTGAGGTTAGCTTGGAGAAAATAGAAGGATGATTATTTTAATGACTGGCAATATTATTGAATCTCGTTATTTAGTTAAGCTTGACACCAACCATTAGATTCTATTATGGTATTTGTCACATGAAATATTTAGAAATATGTAATTTTATTATCAAATCATTGTAATCCTATAAAGATCCAGCAATAGGAAACTAATATAGGGCATATAGTGAAAGATGTTGTGAATAGAAAGAGTGTATTTGAATCTACTTAATCCATTGCTTTTAAATGCTTTACTGAAATTTTTACTCTGATTTTCTAAAAAATATCAGCATAAATAAAAATATTTAGACCATCAAAAAAAAAGTAGTCAAAAGCGGTCAAAAGACCACCCATGAAAATTGGTAGATACACGAAATATATGTGGAAGGAAAAAGAAATCAATTTATTTTAATGATATCATTATTTCATAACCCTCAATGCCCCTTGGCCATCCTCCTGTGTGTTGCCATAAGACCTGTTATTGCTCCAAAGGAGAGATCCCACACTCGGTCTCCTGAGGCCTCTTTTATCTTCCCAGTCTCCCTCCCCCAGTTGAGGGAGCTTCACCTAACACTTTCTACAGACACGCCCGACAGCCCA